CTGCAAACGGCACATGGACCGTGCACAGCGCCTCGAGTGTTTGTGGGCATAAATCATGGGGAGCAGGAGCCTTTCTCTGAGCAGATCTGAGAGCCTGAGCTTTTGTTGTAGTTCTGTTCAGTATAATTTAGGAAAGCATGAGTGCGTTTGCATCCAGGCGCTCCAACAAGATCACTTTGACAGAAGATGGACAGAGGCATCCCACCACCACTACCTGATTTATCCCCGTGCCTGCGCTGGCCTGGATATGGGGGAGTGCTCGTGCTTGTTTAGTCTGTATGGGAGCACAAATCATGGCGCTGTGTCATCACTCTGCCAGGGTCTGGATTTCATTAGGAACCACATGATCAGTGCAGGCTGCTGCAGCTGGCTGTGCTCCCTCTGTGCTGCACAAGACATGGGGGTGATGGCCGAGGCGCAGCGCTCAGCATCCTACCCACAGGTGACCCCAACAGAGCCTTTTCATTCATTGCACCCCCCTGTGCCCATTGCAGCCCTTGCATCCTTTGCACCCCTTGTATCCTTTGTATTCTTTTTGCTCGTTGCAGCTTTTACAACCCTTGCAGCCCACTGCATCCTTTTGAAGCTCTGCAGCCCGCTGCACCCTTTGCATCCTTTCTGCCCCTTAAAGCCCTTGCAACATTTCCAACCCATTGCATCTTTTGCATCCCTTGCATCACTCCCTTGCATTCTTTGCACCCCACCACATCATTTGCATCCTTTGTGCCCATTGCAGCCCTTGAATCCTTCACATCTCCTGCAGTCTGCTGTAGCCCTTGTATCCTTTGCATGCCTTGCAGCTGGTGCCCCTGTGCATGTGCTTCTATCTCTCACTCCTTGCTCACACCCAGGCTGTCCATAGGGTGGTGTGAACGTGTCCCCCAGCATCACCCAGCCCTGCTGACAAATCTGCTCTGTGGGCAGTGCAGACATGAAGGGGCCAAAACACCCCCTCCAGCCACCAGGTCACAACCAGCTCCTCCATAGAGACCCTGTGTTTTCCATGGGAGCCCCTAAATCCAGACCTTAGTTTAGCTACAGCTCAGGCTGAAATTCCCATTCAGATGCTCAGCTCCTGAGGCCATAGCAGGGGAACACATTTACTGCACAGCGCTCGTTAAGTTTGGATAAACCCACTGTACCCAAGGAGGTGGCTGTGAGGCTCCCGTGGTCCCCCCTCACCCAGGGGATGAGTGTGCAGGGGGCTGAGGTTGGATGCAAGGCTACAGATGTACCAAGGGTGGTGACCACACACCCAGCACACCGTCTGGCAGAGTGCAGGATGGGGATAGAGGAATAGGTGGACAAATCCCCCATATCTTCCAAACCCCCAGCCCAACCCAAAGCTGGGTTCTGGACTGTGGGCAGGCTGCACTTTGGCTCTTGGTCTGAGCCCTGGCCCTCCCATGCCCACAGGCTCTGCATCACTTCCCATCATCCTTTACCAAGAAGTCTTTGGGCTTGTTTATGCCATGGTGCATTGCTCTCTTTTGGCACAACTGGCTGCCCAGTGGAAACCCACAGCAGCTCCTGGCTCCAATATGGTGACTCAGAGCTGTGGTGACACAGCCACTGCCCCATGAGGGACACCGGGTTCTGGCAGCCATCTCCTGTGGATGGATTTATGCACGGGTTTCTCCAGAGGATTGTTCCTAATTGCAATGTGCTCTGGTTGCAAAAAGGAGCTATCGCAATGCACGCATGTGCACACACTGCTCTCCGTTTGAATCAGGATCTCAGCATTTCTGACTGGCCAAACACGACCTCCAAGGGAAGGTAAGAACCAGGCTCCCTTCCTCAGGTGTGCAGGGAGCAGTGGGCACCTGTGACCGCATCACTCTGGGATCTGAAGCCTCTCAATCCAGCCACCACGATGCCCTCCAGGCTCTGTGAAGAGATGATGATGCGGCATGAGATGAACCCCTGAACCCCCAAATCTTGCCCTGGAAATGGCAATCCATGTGCTGCTTGTGGCACTGCTGCTGATGCCATCTCCCTGCTGCCACCCCAGCAAGAGCCCACACTGCCTCAGGTCATCAACGTGCCCCTGTCCCCATCCCCTATGGCACTCAGGCAGCTCCAACCCCCAGCTCTGAATCAATGCCCCTAGCTGCCTTTCCCCAGTGCTGCCCCAATGCCCCGTCACTTCCCAGCTCTTGCACAAAGGCAGTGCTGGCCCTATGCACCCCAAGCCCGCTGCCTCATGGCGTGCACACCGGCTCAAATATCCCTGCTGGTTCCCACAAGCAGCTCAGCCTTTCCAAAGCTCAGCCCTCGAGCCGGGAGGAGGCAGCACCCTGAGCCTGCCAAACTAATGAGAAGCGCATGGGACCCACATCTGGTAGCGATTGAGGGGGGAGCAGTGTTGGGAACGAAGGAAGCACATATTTCCTGCAGCACAAAGGAAGGGAGAGGAATGTTCACAGCAGAGCAGAACAGAGCTGGGGCCCTGGGGCGCAGGTCCTTCCCGCACGCTGCTCCTTCATTTGGGGTAGGGGCACAAAGGCACGAGCAGCATCAGATCTGCAGACCCTCGTGCCACCAATGGGGTTATGCTCCCACTAGAAACAGATTGGGAGCAGAAAGCACAGAGCCTGCAAACTGCCTGAGAAGGGTTACGGGCTGGAGAGATCAAGGCAAGGGCTGCTCTGTGCCACAACAACAGGAACGTGACTGGGACAGGAACAAGGCAGGGCTGTGCTCAGCAGAACTGGGGCCACATGGTACCACAGCACCACGTCAGGGCACTCGGTCCTGTGCTGGTACTGAGTGGGGTCCTGGCTCCCATCCCTGCTCATCCAAAAGTGCTGGAGCATTTGCAGATTATATGGCCACAGCTACACCAAAACAGGGACCTGGGGCAGCAAAATGCCGCCTGGTTGGGATGCAGGTGAGGCAGGGGGGAAGGGCGAAAACTAAAACATCCAAAGCTGTTTCTCATCCCATGAAGAAGCTGATTTAAAAACTGCAAGATGAGCCACTCCACAGTGGGAGCCCTGCTCTGCCTGGCTGTTTATGATGGCACGAGGACACCAGGGCTTGCCATTGTGGCTGTGGCCTTTTCCAAGACAGCTGGAGCAGTGCATGGCACATCAGTGATGTCCCCAGCACGTAGCAGCAGTCACCCAGCAGGGAGCACAGGAGCCAGCCCACAGGTAAGGACTGCAAACAGCACCGAAACGCACACATTTAGCCACAGCTCTCAGCAAATCTTTGTGGCAGAGGATGGGGAGGGAGGTCCTGGGGGGGGTGAAGCCATTGTACAGCAGCACGCTGGTACTCTGCACTGCCCCAGCCAGAGCTGAGCACCACGACTAATACCTTTAAATTAAAAGCCCGTGTTTTCCATCCCCTACAACCTCAGCTGTAAGCAGCCAGGCTCTGCTCCACGGCTCTGCCTTTGGCAGCTGCTGCTCAGCAAAAACGCTTTGGCAGCTCCTGAGAACGGGGTTAGGAAAATGTAGGTGGATTCGCCTGTTAAAAATACATGGCGAGAGTGAGAGGGATCCATCATCATCCCACCCAAAGCCTGGGATTTGGGGATCACCCTCTTTGGAAAAAGGAAGCAGCCAAGCAAAACCCAAAGGGGTGACTGATATTGAGGGACACTGCAGGGATGCCCTGTTTTCCCTGGGAATCTTCTGTGTTCTTCTTTGCCCAAGGAGGCTGTGGATGCCCCATCCCTGCAGGTATTCAAGGCCAGGCTGGATGTGGCTCTGGGCAGCCTGGTCTGGAGACTGGCGACCTGCACATAGCAGGGGGTTGGAACCAGATGATCACTGTGGTCCTTTTCAACCCAGGCCATTCTATGGTCCTCTAATGGGACACTTCAGCTCCCATTGGGCACACAGTGCAGTTCTTGCGAGCTCTGAAGTTGTGTTAAGAATCACTCCTTAAGCTTTCAAATGCATTTCGGTGCATCATTCATTTTGCCAACTCAAGGCAGGAATCCCTCCACGTGGACGGCTGGAATTCATTTGAAACTCAGCCTTGTGAGGAACGTCTTAAATATTGATCTCATTGCCTGGGAAGGAAGGAAGGAAGGAAGGAAGGAAGGAAGGAAGGAAGGAAGGAAGGAAGGAAGGAAGGAAGGAA